TTTTATCGCTTGCCATATTTTTAAAAATGTTTATTTTTAAATTTAGTATAATTACATAGTTTTTTCATTGCCATCATATCATTCGACCTCAGATAATTAAGTGACGATACTTCTTTTTTTTTTTACTGATAGCAATTTAGAGATAATATGTAAATAATATTTTTAGTTGATGCTAACAACTCCACAATATTCAATTACTGTCTAAGAAAATGAATGTCTCTGAATGACAGTCCGCGTTCTAAAGTGTTGATAAGCATAATATTGGCGATGAACTGACTCCACAAACCTGTCATTTGCTAAAGAGACAGTTATGAACCTTATGATATAAATATCTTAGTGATGTCCCTTGAATGTTGAGTCTCTGTGTAATGTGTAGACGTGTTGTTGATGTCAGTGAGACAGCTATGAATGACTTTTGTGATAAGGCGTGTCGTTGGGGCATCTCTTCGGGGGGCTCCCCTCCCCCGAACGAAATGGAATTTATATAGAAATTATATACTTTTAACAGTGTCCGCCCCCCCCCCCCCCGAAAATTTCAAGTGCCCCCCCCCTCCCCCCCCCCGGAGAAAAAAGTCTGAAAGAAACACTGGTTGGGGCTGTGCTGTGTCTGAATAATCAAGTGTTAATTCTAACTTGACAGTGTCTACTGTTAAACTACACGTGCTAGGAAATACATAAAGTTATAGAGGTTAAGCAAATCTGCTAAGTTACTGTGAGTTGAGTGAGACGAACACTGAATCGATTTATAGACTGACTGTCAAGCTTTTCACACTTTATCAACTACTGACGGAAACAATTGAAACCCATTCTTCAATTATAAATACAGGAAATGCTAATTTCGATTCCTACTTTGCAAACAAAATCCTATTCAGAGATAATCTTTTGCGCTGACACTTGGTTAAAGAACGGTTCAGTTACACATTGCTTGTTCAAATTATTTGTTTACTTGTACTTGCTTATCTTCATGATCGTACCACCGAACGATTGAACCTAGATATGGTAGTGTTAAATTAGTAATTACGTTAGAAGCTACGTATCTGTTTATTTGAAAATTTATAGGAAAAAACTGTAGTCCTTGTTCTAATATGATAATCATATTCTACAAACATTTAAGGTGGAATCCGAAGATAATGCCTATCTCATCCTAATCTACCAACTCAATAAACGGAGTTTGGGTATTTTTTTTTTCTTTTCTAAATAGTAAAAAACATGAAAAGTTACCATTCTGAACTTGACGGTTCCTGTTACAGACGATGTAGAGTTCACCTGTTTATGTGAATTCGGCATATGAATAGTTAGTGTGGTCCGTACCGTACCCAACCGTTTTTACTTTCCCCAAACGTGACATCTTAATACCCGTAACAGCACACTATCACAAAAGCAGTTTAATAAAAACGAAGAGATCTTATATTTATTTCGAAACATAAAGTTAATTCTTAAAATAAAATTTAATTTTGTTGATTTCATAAATGTACACAACTGATTTTTAAAACAACTTAGTCACACTCCTCTACATTCATAAATCAAGGTAACTTACGGTGGTTTTACTAAAACTTTGATTAAAATAGTTCGTCTCCATTATCCGTTTTACTCGCATTGAAGCTTGACTAATGTATATAATTTTCAAAAGCCACTTTAGAGTTGAACATTCCACTATTAATAAAGTAAATTCTGCCAGGTACTTCGTTTAAGAGTCAAATTATTTGTTTTTATGTAAGTAAACATTCTACCATCTTCATGGAAAACCACGTGACTGTGATATTTTAAGCCCTAGCTTAATGGCAGTGAAATAGTAAAATGGATAAGTACCAACATTTTTAATTTTTAAACTAATAATTATTTTACCGTATTTGAAGGATCACGGAAATTTTTAGCTATGGTAGGGGGAGGCACCGGGACATTTATTGGTATACCACCGGACTTACCATCTTTGGCTTACGTTGTTTCAAATAATGAACTATGCCGGTATATTCAAGATAGTTATCTCGATACATGCGCAATCCGTGATCTCTTTATAACTTGCCAAATTACACTACAAGGCTAGAACACTACCTCATTGGGAGCGTCAACTTTCTTTCTTTCTATAAGCGATGAAAAAGGTGGGGCGCCGAAGTAAAAGTTATATTACTATTGATTAGATAATACTATTGACTTTTATTAGGGAGCTTGTAGAGAGTCAACAGTATTAGAAACTGTAAGAAAATCACGGCGCCCCACGTTTTTCATCGCTTATAGTAAAGTGATCGCTTGCATTATTGTGATGTATAGCATTTATTTTCTACTTTTTAGTTCAATCAGAAAACGTGGGTTTTTTAAAACTTTTTTAATGATTATTATTTTCTACTTTTTAGTCTTTGTCTGTTTGTTTGCATTGAAATCTTGCTATCGATTTTATCTTTTCACATTTTTTTTGGGTAAACGAAGACAACTCGTAAAAAACACGTTGTGTGAATACGTTACTGAGTAGAACACATAGATTTGAAACCGTGTCGAGTGGGTTAGCAATCGTGTGCCCAACCACTCGACCATATCGTCTCCCCCATACTGGCCACCCGTTGGTACGTTCTAGTTGTTTGTAGACATACACCGCGTGACAACAACTCAGTAAGAAAAAGAGGGAGAGTACCGAACCTTGTTTTCATCAAATTACAGTAACTGGGTTATGTCCCTTTTTCCCCCACGTTTTTTGTACAATTATATAGGGGTATAAAATGATCAATAAAATGTTTCCATGGATCAATTTAGTAATAATAACAGTTGAATATTCTATTGTCATCCGAAACATAGCTTTCCTGAAAATTTCAGCGCGCTAGCTAACTGGGAAGTGCCCGAAATTTCGATCGCAAGATTTGATTGGAAAAACAAACAAACAAACAAACAGGGGCGAAAGCAAGTTAAAGAAAAAGTGGGAAAAAACAACGCAGGCTGAAATTAGAGTTAATGGCCTCATTGTCGCAAAACCAGTTGACACGTATACCTACTTGAGCTGGAGGGGATCCCTTCCAACACTAAAATTAAGAACGAAGAGTAATGTCTTAATTAAAAACTCCTTAAAAGTCTTTGGTCTTTAAATTAAAACATGTAATTAGCCTATGAGCCTGTATTTCTGAGAGTTTAATATGATGGGATTTCGATCAAGACAATTGAGTATAAGAATGTTGTTTTTACATGCAAGATATTTCATGAAATCTTTTAAAAATTGTGCTTTTTATTATATTCATGGTGCTAAGTATAAAATGTAATAATGGAACCAATCGAAACAATTTTTATCTTTAAAAAATTTGAACATCAATAAAACATCACTCAACAGTAAACACGTTTTAGCATATATAATAATAATAATAATAATAATAATAATAATAATAATAATAATAATAATAATAATAATAATAATAATAATAATAATAATAATAATAATAATAATAATAATAATAATAATAATAATAATAATAATAATAATAATAATAATAATAATAATAATAATAATAATAATAATAATAATAATAATAATAATAATAATAATAATAATAATAATAATAATAATAATAATAATAATAATAATAATAATAATAATAATAATAATAATAATAATAATAATAATAATAATAATAATAATAATGGGATCATTATTATGAATGATTCTAATGTACATTTAAAGATTAAAATGAACAATAACAAACACGGAAGTAGTACCTTTAAGTAAGATGAGTTTTGTTCATGCAGTATAATTGTAATCAAAACAAAATTAAAAAAGACAGAAAGATCAAATATTGGAAAAAAAAAGTATCTAAAACATGTTTAAAAAAGATTGTATGTAATTATAAATTAAAAAGAATAAAATAAAGATTTTTTCAAATTATGTAATAATGCACCTGTATTTAAATAAATAAATATAGTAGCTTGTGTAGCAAACATTGATTGCAGGTTTTTGCCCATTATTAATATGTAATACGCGTCCCAAGCTTTTTTTTTTTAGTTATTTAAAATAAACTTCAAAATGTGTAATAACATTTAAAACAAAAATTAATTCAATATATAATGCATAAATATATAGAAAATTAAAATTATACTATTTAGATTTAATTACAACAACATGTATTGATAGAAAGCTAATTTTACTATTGCAAAATATGATTTAACTTCATTATAAAAATAAAATTATAATTGCCCAAAAATAAAACAATCGGCAATTTAAATTATATTTATTAACATAAAGTAAAGTCATAATGTTCTATTTTAAATATAGGTTTACCAATACAGTTTAAGATACGTCAATGTCATTACATCTAAATATAAATATGACCGTCTGTGTGCCTGACACCTGAATTCCTTTCTGTCAGCCAGTCAGTCAGTCTGTCTTTCTGTTTTTCTGTCTTTGTGTCTGTCTCTCGGTCCATCTATACATATATTAATATATATATATATATATATATATATATATATATATATATATATATATATATATATATATATATATATATATATATATATATATACATCGCTGTTTCTCAATTTTATCACATTTTTTTTCTGCCATAGAAAATGTGTTTAAAATTTGAAATTAACCACTAAAATTTAAAATACATTAAAATATTCTGGTATGTACACATTGATGCTCAATCCTTAAAATGAGTTTTCAAACTATGTTAAATTATAAATTGTTTTTTCATAATGTAAATCATCCAATTACAAAATCAAGTATGGCTACACGCCTTGGTTTGAATATTGTGTTTTTTTTTCAACGCTGATGCAGATTAGTTTTATATACATATGCTGAGGTGTATTGTAAGACTGCTGATTTTTTATTTTCATTAAAAAAAATCATTTAATGTCATTTAAACTCTCCATCTCGTCACTGCCCAGAATAAACGGATCATTTTTTAACAGCCACTCAGCTGTTGGCCTTAACTTAGAGTCCCGCTGTAAAATCCTATTTAAAAACTCCTTGAAGTTAACAGATGAAGATTCAGGCAGATGATATTGTAGTGTATTCCCCAAAGCAGTTTGGAAGATTATTTGGTGTGAGTAAAGTGATGGGTACGGAGGTTTTCCTGTCACCATCTCTACCGCAGTGCAACCTACACTCCTGCAGTGCAGAAAATAGCATATATATATATATATATATATATATATATATATATATATATATATATATATATATATATATATATATATATATATATATATACGATATTATTGTATGTAATGTCAACGCTAAATAATAATTTATGTTTGTGAGTGTATATTTAAATTTTATCTAGTGTGATGATTAGATATTATAGTTCAATATCAGGGTTTAAGCTGAAGTACGGCTTAGACAGGGGTTGATTTTGTAATGGCACACTTGCTATCGAACTTGCTGTGTATAGTGGTATTTATTTCTTAAACATACTTTAAAATAAAAATAGAAGTTAACCACAAAAAACCGTGAAAGCTGATTATTGTGAACTTGAAGACGAATATTTTAGTGGAGAAATCGACTAAATTTTAAAATTATTTTATCATAATTTTGGACAGAAAAATTAATCTAATTACTAAATTGCTAGTAAATAACCTTAAATTATATTTGAAAATAAACAAATAATACCGCCTTATATTTTAGATAATGTAAAGAGCACATTCTTATTGAATAATAAATAATAGATTTGCAATCTATGTTTAGCAGGCAGTAGGGATAAATATTCTTTTATTGAATCGTTTTTTAATTATTTTTCATAAACTATTTTCAAATATCCAAATTTTTACCATATATCTGCTCTGCTTGTGTAGTTTCGTATTACGTTGCCTTCTGTATAAATCACTTCTGGTGCCATGTATCGCACTGTACCAATTTCAGTAGCGACCCCATTGGCATCAATAAACTCAGATAGACCAAAGTCTGTAATCTTTAGGTTCCAATCATCTTCCATAAGAACGTTATTGCCTAGAAAAATGTTTGCATACACACGATAACAAAAATCGATGTTAGTTTTCATAACAAATAGGCCAAAATTTAATTTTATATTATTTCGGCAATTTTTTTAGTTATCGGATTTTATTGAAACATGGCAATCAAAAAGCAGAATATTTACTACACTTTTATTGAAAATCTAAATATTTGTAACGAAAGCCTCAATTTTTACTCTCCTTTCTACAGAGCATAGAAAAAGTGTAATCATGCTTCTATTCGGATAGTTTCCGAATACGATGTATTAAGGATGTTTTGTAAAACCTTGACGTTTTACACCCTACCGGATCCGGAAATACTTTGCTTTGTCCATGTGTCTGTGTACATGAAAACATAAGTACCGTTTCAGTTATGTTGAAGACATTTCATATATAAATAGTATTTCAATGTTATAGGGTTTTGTCAGCTTTTGAGCAACCTCCATTCACCAAAAGTGATACTTACCATATTTTAGGTTACTCCAATATATAGAGCCCCGTTTAAGTTAAATAAATGACACTTCACATATAACTATTAAATTGTATGCTCTTGTTTCTATCAAGTTTTAAATTATTTCCGTTAAACGGATTTGATACTGTACTTTATTGCACGGGAATTAAAAAAATTAAGTACTTTTTTACTTAGATAGTCAGCTATACAAATACATATAAAATCTTATTTTTAAATTATGTTCAATTAGTGATTGACCTCCGACAAACTAAAGTGGCACTTTGCTCTATTTCTAGTTTCCAAAATACGACTCAGCTACTACTGTTTTAGTTAGGTGGACGTGGGACAAGGATAGCCTTTAATATCACAATGTAGAATTTGAATAGTTAAGTATCTTATCAAACTTTTCATCCAAGTTACCTCTCTCTCTCTCTCTCTCTCTCTCTCTCTCTCTCTCTCTATGATATTCAACAAACCTTTGATATCCCTATGCAGAATATTATTCTGATGCAGGTACTCTATACCTTCCAGAATTTGAGTAGTAAAGTGTCGTGTCAACTTTTCATCCAAACGACCTCTCTTAGATATAAATTCTGCTAGTGTGCCCTAAAAAAATGACAAAGACAGTTATCCATATCTAATAGACCTGACAACATTTTATACTCTATATTACAAAACTCATTAAAATATAAAAATTAAATCATTTCATGTAGTTTTGCTTACATTTTTCAGATATTCCAAAAATATAAAAAACTCATTCTCTGTTTTCTTAAATCCGTGAAATTGAACAATTCGTCTGTGCTTTACTTTAAGTAAAATCGTTGCCTCTTTTTGACACATATCCTGAAAATCATTTTTTAAAATAATATACTGAGTTATACATTCCTATCCAATTGATTCGGCTTCCTACAAATAAACTAGACTTTACATTATTTAATTTAAATGAAGAAAACTAGAGCCACTAGGGTTAGTGCCAATGTTTTGTTGTGATTAACGCTTGTTTTACGGACAGAAATATATGCCTCATGCAAAAACGTCTATTGTTATTGAGCCTTCGTCTAACAAGTAAATATGTTGTAAATGCTAATAATTTGTGGTTCTGGTGGTAGATAATAGACATAGGTCTCTGCTGTGTTGTGTGTGTGTTTGGAGGGAAGGGGTGGCTATTAGGTCTTCTTCTTCTTCGTTCTTAATTTTTAGTGTTGTAAGGGATCGAGCCTATCTGCCAGTGGTTTTGAACTCGAGACTTTTGCCGACTCGACCACTCCCCCATCACAATTAAGGATACGTGTCAACTGGTTATGCGCCATTCAGACCATTAACTCCGATTTAAGCCTGCTTTTCTTTTTGGATTTCACTTCCATAACCTTTATCCAACCAAGAACAAACTACAAGGCAGCAGTTGTTTGATTTTGGAGTTGTCTCTCTTAGAAGAGTGGCTGTCCTCAGCTAACGAGCCTCACATGCCCGATTAGGTAAGGTGATACACTTTCACAATCAAAAACGTATATAAAAAATGAATGTAAGCCATTTAAAAGTTATGTTACTAATGAAATAAAAATGAGCAATATATGTAACGTTGATGGGGTTTAGTGAATATTTTCGAATTAAGTCTGTTTTTTTAAGAACAAAAATACAACTTAACAAAATGGGTTTATTATATTTATAGGCCTAATTTAATAAAACAGAACATGTTGCTACTGATTAACCCTTAATTTATATTAAAATAGATTGCCGTCCCCGCGCGTTGCCTATCTTACTTTTAAAACGAACTTGAGCGCTATGACGCATACGTTCGTTTAAAACTTTGCGATAGGCTATAGATGAAATTGGGCATTATTGTCGTTCACTAACTTGAATCAGACGCGTCTCTGATCGCCCCGGCAGGGTAAGATTTGGCGACTAGGATATTCTATGAGCTTAATGGTACCTACGTTAGTTTGAAAGAGCACCCTAGAATATTGACAGGGAGGCATAAAAACATTTGATGATGAAGCCGAGCAAGGTTTGGTACGCGGCGCCACTTTGGTAGTGTAACATGGGCTGATAGCGCTTCACTGCGTTCCTCACTATTACTGACAGTAAATAACGTACACTCGATTCTGTAGTGTAGGCAAACCAGTGCCCCAACATACATGATCCTAGAAATATAACGCGGGCATTGTTTACATTTAAGTAACTTAGTTTTAGAAAACAAGGTCACGCATCAAAGAACATAGGATTGGTTACACTTTGATAAAACTCTATTTAAAATTTTTGTCATTCTTTGTTCTCAAGTAGAAAAAAAAACGTTTTTTACTATTTTCCGACAGCCTTTGCAGCTATTGTAAATATAATTTACGGTTAATAAGCCATATAACATACTATGAAACTATCCCTTTTTTCAAGTGACGTTAGACACGATTTCTTAGCAACGAATTTTTGCTCATCTGGTCTAGCTTCATCTGTTACAAGATGGACGCTACCAAACGAACCTGCACCTATTGCTGATACATTAATTGTGAAGTTTTTCGGGAATTCTTCAGATAGGACAACATCTGTGGGAAAAAATGTCATTAATTTATAAAATCACATAACATGGGTAGTATGTTCACTTCTTTCCTTATAATAAAGATCGAAATTAGTTGGCGTATTGTGGAAGTTAAATTGATTTTTTTTAAGAAATAAAGAACAGTAGAGCGAAAAAAAGTTAAAAATGGAGTGCACTTCTCATTTTTTTAAACCATACTTTCATAGAGCACAAAGCGTCCTTTCAATATACACATTCTTTGAAATTTAAGAATCTAACCTCTTTTAGTAGGCAAATTTCCAGTACTTTGTCCTGATCTCCAAAATATTGAGTTAGCATTTGCTGAAATAATTTCGTCTTCACTGGTGGTTAGCTGCCCTAACATGTCATTGAATGTGTCGTCAAATAAAATTCTTTGGCTGGCCTGCATGCTCCTACATAACTCCTTTAAACACGCCGTCAAATTTCTGTGTTCCGAATCATTTTGATTAACGAGAATTTCTTTAAATCTTGGAAGCAATGGAAGTATCTAAAAGATACTTGTATTATTAGTACATGCGAGTAAACATATACAATTTAAAATATAAATGCATCAATATCAAACAAAATAACTATCCTTCCTCATTACTTACACACATTATCACAATGAAGTGTATGAATAGAAACATAATTATTAATTAGTCTATAGTTAAGTAAATAAGACATGCCGATTTCAGATAATATTTTAAGGGATAAGCGATTTTGATTGTAAAAAAAAAAAGCTCGATTATACATTACCCTACTTACACGATAATGGCAGATAACGAATTAATAATTCATTGGGCCAAATTAAATCTAAAGAACATTTATGTAAAATAAATTTAAAAATACGTCTTGAAATTCATCTTCTCCTTCTGCCAATTTAGCCAGACATTTCATAAGACCATTCAGTCCAAGTCCAAAATATACTCTATCTGGATCCATAGAAGCTAATGTAATGCCTTCAATTATTGCTCGTTTTAGTTCAGCTGTACAGACAATGAAAATATTTAGATTTAAAAATTGGAGACTTAAAAACTATGAATAAACTCTGTAAACTAAAATACTAAACACAATGTATCAACGATTAAAACAAATTAAATCAGTTTTTAAAGTGTTTTGTTTCATAAGCTTTTATTTTTCTCTCATTTAAAAGCGTCCCTAAATGTTTATATTCGTATTTTCCATGCTTTAAAATTTTCTAGGGCATTGTTAGGGTTAGAGCACTAGGTGCGGCGAAAGAAAGCAAAGCCTATGACTACATGAAAATAACATAGCTTTTGCTGTGTACATTAAAAATGTATCACATTTTGTTTAAGTTCAAGGTAAAAGCTTTTTAAAACTAATTGTATTTGTTCAAACTAAAATAATCTAAACAACCCCACGTACCCATGCATAGATAATTTAAATATAAGTTTACAACAAAATATATTATACCTTTCTTTTTATTAGTCAAATTTTCACCGATCAAGGAAAGTAAAACGTGTATATAAAATGAGACTATTTTGTTACTAGATTTCAATTTGATGATTACCTTGTAAGAAAAATAGAAAATTATTTGTGTGTAAAATGTTACATTCAGAAATACATCTTTTATATACAACACAATAAAAAATAACTTTCAACAACACATTAGACGATAATAAGATGCTTTGAGCAAACTAAGAAAGTATAAATACATCTACGTAGTTAATTTTAGATTTAATAAAATAATCTTTTTTTTTTCATTTTTTTTAAATTTGTTTATTTGTAATGCTTTTTTTAAAGATAGTAGAGAATACAGTTTAAATGAGCCATAATCATAATCAAGACATTTTCTAAGAGGCACTCAAAACTTTACTTAAAGCTAAAACGCGTTTTAGCTAAAGCGACAAGGCTCCGAAGCTTGTATAGTTTATATCCATTGTCTATGTAATGCATAGATAAGGTTAAATAGAAAAATTTTTACGTATAAAACTAGGATTACACAAAACTTAAAAAAATGACTGTAGCCCTTAAATGCATACCGCTACACATCTGCAACATACCAGTTACCTTCCCATAAAATATTAGCCTAAACTTGTTTGATTCTGTGCATCGCGTTGTTTGACTGCTACAATGTTAACATACAGCTCGCGCATGTCTAAGTGACCTAGATTTGTTTTACCGCCAAGCCGATCTCAAATTTGTGCATGGTCACAGTGTTTTCTATCTCAGCATTTTTGGTTGGCGTTTCAAAGTTCATCAAAGTCGAATAAACTTGTTTTGGAATTTTAAAAAAAATATATTTCTGACTACCTAAGGTATGTATTACATACTGTTATTTGAAAATCAATTCATAATTTATTTATTAATCCTAGCAAAACTTTGGTTGCAATACTGCAACGCTATGCACTACTTTTAACTTTATATATCAGCATTGGTGATTATATAGTACCTTGTTTTTCTTCTAATTTCAACAAAATCATTAAGAAATCAAAGGGAGATTCTTTTTAAGCATTAACAGCAATACATAGCAGATAACCTTAGTGAAATAGATGACTTGAGTGATGGTGAAGGAATTTATGAAGTAGATGCTCTTGGTGATTCAGAGTATCTTCATGGATCTCTTGGACCAGTGTGGACCCTGGATCTCCTGGACCAGTGTGGACCCTAGATCTCCTGGACCAGTGTGGACCCTAGATATCCTGGACCAGTGTGGACCCTAGATATCCTGGACAAGTGTGGACCCTGGATCTCCAGGACCACTGTGGACCCTGAATCTCCTGGACCAGTGTGGACACTTAGTCTCGTGGAATAGTGACAGGTGCAAATAAACATCGTGCTCAAACAGTGTGCGACAAGTGCAATGTATATTTTTGTTGTAATAATAACAAATAAATGTTTTAAAAACAATCACCTCACTGCATAACGTTGTAAACATGCAACAATTAATAATTTAATTAAAGTTCATTAAAACTTTAAAAAATGATGTTTTTCTACATAGTATTCTGTATATACACAACAAAAGTATTGCTAGTATTTTTTAACGTTTTTTTTTAAAAATCATGTATTTAAGCATTAAAACCTGATACTTGTAATCGTAAAAGTTAATGGATCAAGATTTTAAAAAGGGACATTATTTGTACTAAATTCCAATATAAATATAAATATAAATATATATATATATATATATATATATATATATATATATATATATATATATATATATATATATATATATATATATATATATATATATATATATATATATAAATATTGCAATTTAGTACAAATAATGTGAACTTTGTGAACCTTTGATACCACTTTGTAGGTCCGGGTGGGTCTTAAACAAAGCACAGCCTCCTCAATTCTATTTCGCTTTCGCAGAGGCGGCGCTCCGGCCAGTGGCGATTTTGCGCCACTGGCTTTCCTGTGAGCGCCATGGCGCATACAATGCGTTAGATGGTGTCCCGGCAGGTTTCGATTCAGCATCCCGGGCTATCCTGTCAGTGCCTACGTTTGTTTTAAAGAGCACCCTACACTATTGACACGGTGGCACACGACATTCGATGCTGAAACCTAACTAGAGACCTTAAGGTTCGCTCTATCAGCAGAGTAACCGTTTGCTCCCGAGAGTTTCCCACTTCCTGCCTGACACATGGGCGGTTGCCAAGTGTGTTCTATTCCGCTATAATGTAGAGTGATTAAAGTGCACACAAGGCTTTTTCATTGTCAAAACGGAATACAATACTAAAATTAAAATTTAAATAATATATCTACTTTAGCTGGCGATCCATAATCTCATCAATTTCTAGCAAACGAACTCTGCTTCAAATAAACGGCAAAAATAATTATTTATTGACTCAATCTGAATCTCCTTCTCACAAGTTGGGCAAATCAAGCTGTCTTCCGGTTGACTGCTGGCGCTAACTAAAGCCTCTGCTTTTTTCACTCCTTACTGTTTTTTGTTATCAGGTTCTCATTGTTATTTGTTCTTCATGCTGACTGTATGCTATTAGGCTCTCTAACCTATTTATAATATGAGTATTCTTGAGAATGAAAATAAAAAAAACAGTTATAAAAGATAGCCATAACAATAACTTAGTAGCTTTGAGTTTTGAGGTAAACAGTACTCGCATTTAATCAACTGGTCGTTACGGATGTTAAGCACACATTTCCTAAATCTATTACGTTTTTGGCACTTTATTTTTGGAGCTAAATGTAGTTTTATTGTTTCTGAATTGCGTTTGATTTAGGAAGAATATTTTCGTACTATTGTTAAGTAGATTTTTAATTTCATGAGGAAACGGGTTGACGCATCACGCATTACTGGCATTTAACGAAATGTGTCTGTATCTTAATTAAAGTGTTTTAAAATATTCTTATTTAGACAGGCATTTCAAACTGAGGTTACGTGGGGGGTAGTGGGGTGAGAAGGCAAGAATTAAGAGTGTTTTTAGGAAAGTGATGTTCAGTTATTTTTAGACCAAAAGTTGTGATATGCGATAGGATTATTTCTCTGGGGCCAAATCGTTCGTTTTATTACGGTCAGGGTCCGTTTTGTTACCGGATTAATTATTTGTTTACGATTCGGTTATTTCGTTGGCAGTTCGGCAAATCGTCTGGTTTTGGAAATATAAATGAACCTTTATGAAATAAAAGTACCATTAAAAACCTATTTAGAATGCACTATGGTAATCATCCTAATATTTAATATGCATATTAAGGAATAAGTCTTCAGATGAATATTAAGGTTGATTTACAATTTATTCAAAGAAATGAGGCAGTACTATTCTTACTATCAAAGCATAATGCTAAGTGCATTAAAATGTTCTTAATTAAATTTTAAATTAAATTCTTAATTTATATGTTTTATCTATAAAAACCAAAGTGTAAACTCCTAATAGATAACAAGTATATTAAACTCTCATAATACTCGTTGCTTACCTCATCAGTATTTGCATTACGAAAGTAGTCAATTCTTTTCGTTTGGCAAAATATATTGTATAAAATAAACAAGACGTTATACAGAATACAGCTCGTGGTGGTACTCTGTGGTAAAAAAGTATGTTTTCAAAGATAAATTATTTTTACGTTGACTTTAGACAGGTCTACTAAAAGAATGTAATTACAGTTTTTTTTATTTTAAAGTTTACCTGCAAATTACTTTGCCTGTTTAGACAAGCTGTCAACATTTCAACCATGTTAAATTCGGCCATAAGCTTAAGAAAAAAATGGGATGGGATTTAAATTATCATTATTATTAGACATTAGTTCAAAATTATTAAGCATTTCAGTAAATTGATAAATTTTAAACTACGCAATTTTAGGAAATTGTACAACACTAAAAAGTATGAAAACAATAGAGGTCACAAAAAAGGTTAAAACTTTATTTTACCAAACATATAGAACGTCAGGTTCTGAAAAATAAAATAAAATGTTAAACCATTTATAAATTTGGCTTATTATCCAAACAACTTTACCTTTGAGAATTCAGGGCACATTGAACAAACAAATCGTAAAATTAGCAGCAAACAAACTGTCAATGAAGATTCTGTGACTGTTGTGTTCAGTAGATCTTCTTCAATTATGTATTTAACTGTAATCTCTGTTATATATATATATATATATATATATATATATATATATATATATATATATATATATATATATATATATATATATATATATATACATATATATATATATATATATATACATATACATATATATATATATATATATATATATATATATATATATATATATATATATATATATATATATATACTACCTTATACCCATGCTTCGCTACGGTGTGGATATGGATAATACCTACGCGCAATACGCTGACCGCGGGTGGGGGTCCCCGCATTAAAACGGATATTCCATCAGCGCACCGCGCTGGGCACGGGTTTCGGTAGCACCTTGGGTTGCACATGAATATTAACGAAAATTAAGCTACTTTAAAATAAAGTGTCGCAACGCTCTCATAGAAGCCCAGATATCCTCCTGGAAGCCTGATAGAAACTCTGCTCCCTTTCCCCCCATCTCTTCCTCATTGCCGTGACTTGCGGCATTGTAGTTACGCCCCTGACTCTTTAAGCAATATGTGTACAATTTAGATGGTGCTAACTTTATAATTGTTCAATGTGTTAAGAATTTAATCTATAAATCATATTTAACTTTGACCTTTCATTTCCCCTTGACGTCGGCAACACTACCGCAGACAACAAATTCCGATCAAGGCTATATTCCGTTGAAACAAATTACTCCTTTGCCAATGCTTGTCATTACTCAAAGAAATAATAATAAAACAGAAAAACTTCTGACATATTTACCTTACCTACTAAAACAAAAGAAAAACTAGGACTAGCATTGAGAAAACATCAAGCACACCAAATATGCAAATGATTATAACAAAATCGTTAGTCCCTTTTTAAATTCCGGTAATCGTTTTCAAAGCATAATATAGTTACACAAGCGTTTTGTTTTAGTTTTTCAAATAGTAGTTTTCTGATATGTGTTAAAAAAATCATATATTTTCTCGTCTTTAGTGCTTTATTAAATAAAAGTGTTGAATTAAAACATTTGTATGAATTATTTTTCAACTTTTCAACTTTAGATTATTAAATAAAAGCATTAGAACATGGGGAAATTGGATTTAAGACAAATTTAAAATTGGCATATTAGATTTTACCACAATATTTGTACTGTAAAAGTAATTTCTGTATGTTTATCCATTTGTGATGGCATTCACTGTACAACATATGGACAAAACTGTATAATATTTTGTGATAAACGTAGAAATCCAATGCGGAAAATGTTCTCACAGATGAATATTCTTCTAACACTTCAGAAATACTGCTTAGCAGCAAATCCTCAGTTGGAATCTGGGGGCAAAAGAATAGGAAGTGTTGAATTTTAGTTTAAAATTATCCAATAAGAATTAAAAATAAATAGATTTATAATTTTCATATTTTCTTTTCAAATGATTGATAAATTATTTCATTGTAAATGAAAACTATACGGCTATCATGCAGAATATAGCATATGATATATAATATACGCCGTAGAGTCGTGTGCCATTCCGTAAGCCAGCTATTAGTATAGGCACTTTTTTCTTCGATAAATCTGTAGAAAATAGTCTTTTACAAGCTTTTACTTAGCATACAATGTCTATAAATAGGTAGATTGCAAATTTTGGAACTCAATTTTGACCTTACTTCTAATGCAGTGATTTTATTCAAACATTCGAAAGACAATACAATGATATGCACTTGAAATCTAATTTGATAGATAATCATTCATTAAACTTTAACTTTATAATGTCTAATTTGGTATCAAACCTTAAGCGATTAAACGATAAGCCTGTTTACAGCGATGAACTTATGTTTTTGCAGTAGCATCAACCGCGGAATGAATAGAAGCAAATAACTGATTTTGCAAAGATTATACTATACTTGTCGTGTTTTGAATGCAAACATTTTAGTAATAGCTTTTATAGTATTAACCTTCATTTAGAATGAATGACTAAAATGTGAAAATAAACCAAATATAAAAACGTTTATAAAAGCATGGTTTTTGAATGCACTGAGAATAAGAATTAATTTAAACTTGCTATCTATGATAAAAACTGTGCTCGCTAAAATATGTTTGAGATCACATGATTTACAAACACTTTTTTGTTTTTAAGAAAGCACGTTTGTTTTATATTTTCTTATTTCCAGTGCATTATAAAGCTTGCTTGTTAATGTATTGGTTTTTATATTTTGTTAATGTTGTCCTCATACACATTTCTATTTATGCTTTAATTAAATTTAAATAATTATTTAAAGCTAAGTGGCTAACTGTCGGTTACGGCACTTGCCGCTGCCGCCAGAGTTATCTTATCCATTAAGCACTTTAGACACTGTGCCTAGGGCCTACGAACTTTTGGGGGCATACGAAAATTAGAAAACAAAAAACTGAAAAATAAAATTTAGAGGTCTGCAAAATTCAGAAAATGAGATACTGAGAAAATACATTTCTTGTATCCTACGACTAAACAATCCTAAAATATAAAACTCATGGGTGGAATTCTCTCTCTCCCTTTTGCTGATGGTCTGTCAACATTTTTATGTGGCAATAATATCAGTATTTTCTATATGTGAGAAAATAAACATACATAAACATTATTATTTCCCGTTAAATTAACTTTCCAGGTAGATTTTCAGTACAGATTGAGAGTTTTCAGTTTAGATTTTGGTTTTGTGCAGATATATGTTATTGTTATTAGCTAATACATTGTTTACGATTAAAGTTATGTTCTTAACAATTCTATTTTAGTTACACTAGCTACGTCACAACAACTAGTTTATATCGCAGCTACACAGTAACTCTGTTCAATCTTGGCCTTGACTTTGTCCTTGTTAACAGACAACTATAACGTTGTTATCAATTGTGGCGTTGGAAACTTTCCACTAGTTACACACACATGCATATTATAAGGGGCGGAACTACAGAGCCGCCAAACCCCGCAATGCTGGGGGTGGTGGGGGCAGGCTATTTCAGGACAAATGATCTCAGGTCAAATAATCTTAAGGACAAATTATCTCACGGACAAAAGATACCAGGACAATATATATCAGGACAATTGATACCATGAAAAAATGATCACAGACAAAATATCTCAGACAAAATATCTCACACCAAAATTTTAATAGTGTATTGGATGATTTTAGTTTATCTGAGCATTTTTTTTAATTGACTGTCATATGATTTTGTTTACTATTTTTAATAATGTTATAGGCCTATTTAAAAATTTTGAGAAATGCTTGCCGTATAAATTTGTAATATTGCACTAAACATTTTAAAATTAAGATTTCTAAAATAGAATGCGAAGATTAAAGAAATTTGTTCGATAAACAGCGTAGGTGAGCTTGCCAAACATGAGACAATCCTACCATCTCTGGTGGACGAAACTAGATCAAAGGGGATGAAATATAACAATAAAGACACCTTTTTATCAAGGTGGTCGCCCGCTCTGATGGTAGAGACATGCCTTAAGGGAAAGTTTGTCGTAGTGTGCATGCAAACAAAGCAGTATTAGTTGTGCTTACTAAGCTATGGCCTCATTCGTTACCTAGCAGACAGATTTTAGGACATGAGTTTCTGGTGAATTTTTGCTTATAAAAGCCATAAGTGGAGCAGCAGGCAAAGAGATTTATAAATGTGAAGTTAGAACATGTCGAGAAAAAGTTCACACAATACATAATCACATAGTGATCATAACGATGTACCTTCCACAGGGTTCAAGCTCAAAAATTCAAATAAAATTCCAGGTGTTTTCCATGTGTTTTCCAGGAGTTTAAAAAAATTCAAGGAGATTTTAAAAACAAAAAAGAAACCCAATTTGTACATTTTAAAAAAAGCGTACTTGATAATACATTTAATTAGATAAGTTAATGAAAAAAATTTAATTTCAGTAAAAGTAAAACAATATAATAGTTACATATTAGGATAGAGGCTATCAATCTGACTACAGACCAGTTTGAATTTTTTTCAAAATCTGACCATAAACAAAAAAGTTATGATTTTTTTTTTGTCATTAAAAAAAATAGATTTTTCAGAGAAAGACCCTGAAAGAGGATAAATACTGGGAGGGTATGGACCAAATTTTAAAGAGTTTTTCACTATAAAAGAGGTATAAATGCACGCAGACTTTACCAATTAATATCATTTCGTGATATTTTATTGATTTTTGGATGCCAAATCCAATGATGCTAGGCTAGTCGGCCAACCCGATGAACGTGTCAGACGAATATTATGTAATTTCAGAGACAGAAGTCTGGCAAGATTTCTTGATCTATGTCCAAGGATTAGTAACATCAACTCCACAAAGTGAATGGGGAAGAGAGGTGGGGTATGAAACCACCACGAGCTGCTCTGGTACAGTACGGGTGTTATACAACATCAAAGGCGACAATCGTCGGCTTGTCGCGTCACGGAGTAGAGGGGGCGGGTTGAGGCTATGAATGTTACGTTGGGTGTTACATACCGTGTAGGATGGTCAGTGTCTTCCCCCACCCACCCCAGCCCATTTTGGTCGATTTGGCAAGCTAGTATTAAGCGTATTAACAATTTTTAGTCAACCGAAAAAAAGAGCCACTGGAAAAATTTAATTTATTTTCTATAGCCATTTTTACGAAAAATTAATGTATAAAATAAAATAATGAAACGTTACGCGAATCCGCATTGTTTGATCGGGTCGCAGCTATCCGGGTTTTCTAAAGAAGATTAATTTTGACGATTAGTCCTGAGCCGTAAATACTACTACAACTTTTTTTTTTGCCGTTTCAATAGTTTAAGACAAAGTTATGAATCATGCCTGTCTACTTTAAAAATCCAAAAGCCGACAATTCAAACACGGGAACACATGTAGGCCTATCTATCTTTAGAAATTGTTTATAGTATCATCCAATCGGGTCAATCGCCTAGCGTCACGTGCCACACGATGTGTAGATCACAGCAGTGCGATTCAGTCGGACGACGGCCGAGCGTTTATTTTTATTTTCGTCCCATTTAAAAACTACCATTCAATTATTGGCGGAACAAAATCAAATAATTTTGGTCGGGTTTTGCGCCGCGGCTTAATAAAATTTCATGAGATCTCATAAGAATTATAAAATTTCAGGAGAATTCCAGGAGGTTTTTACGTTTTTTAAGATTCCAGGAGTTTTCCAGGACCTCCTGGAATTTCAGGAAGCCGCACGAACCCTGCTTCCAGAAAAGAAACGTCAACGTTTGTGTTGATGATGCAATAAAAACAATAGTTTTACGTTAACGACAGTCTTTTTATTTTCTGTCTTTTGGAACTTTTTCTATTATGATATGTTAAATAATAGGATTATATGTTTGTTGGAAGTAGGTCATACAAGTGACGTAAAATAGAAAATTATCAAAAACATTCATTGTTCACATTGGAAAACATGTTTGCCTGTATAATGAAACAAACTAGAGAAAATAAACTGGAATCCAATGGACACAACAGCTCGAAGTCTGTTTATGTGCGCTGCCTTTTAGAAACAACAAAATGCAGAACAAAATATACTTGTTAAAGAGGCAGTAATAAGCGGTTCAGATTAGAATTAGCATCAGAAAAAAGGTTTTTACATTTTTAACCAATGTGGAAATGAAATGCATTGTCAAAACAATTTAATCAGTTACTATAGTTAAATATGTCTCTTTTACTGTATGGTTCGGAGCTAGGTTACAGACAGTGGGTAATGAAATAAGAGCAACGAAAAAATGGTAGTTAGGGCACAATAACAGAAAGAGTAAATAATATAACTAAGAAGGTGATGGTGTACAGGGGCGTAGCGAGGGGGGGGGGCGGGGGTGTGGACCGCACCGGGTGACACCATTTAGGGGGGTGACACCAAGGCAAAAAAAGCAAAATATATAGAGAAAAACTTGAGGGGGGGGGGGTGCAAATCGAAAGTTTGAGGGGGGTGCAAATCGAAAACTTGAGGGGGGGGGTGCAAATCGAAAACTTGAAAGTTTGTCCCCGGGAAGGGTCGCTACGCCTGCCTCTTGGGGGATGACACCATTAAGTGCCGCACCGGGTAACACCCGACCTCGCTACGCCACTGATGGTGTATAGTACACGGGGAAAGAGTATAAGAAAACTATTAAAAATTGGAGGAAATAGTGTCAAAGAGATAATTTGGGGGAGGCTGGATTATAAAGGTGTGTCCTTCATAAAAATCAAATGAGTTGACGAAGTGTTGCCTACACCTATGTCCGCTAGGAAGCCGACAAGAAGAAGAAAAAATCAAAAGAGTTTAGACCAGTTGTTCATAAATTGGGTTTGATCGAGCTCAAAATTTCGGTAAGTTAGTCTCATGGCTACGACAGATGTCAAGACACTTGTATGATTTACGATCTTATTTTGTCAGTGTGGACGATATAACTATTTAGAAGGGTTCGGTGAATGAGTATATGAAACTGGTGGGGTACAGTACCTCCAAAATGTTTAAGAACCACTACTTTAGTTGTAGTTTCTAGAAGAGGTGCGCTTATTTGGTCTTCTTTTTGTCGTTTCTTTTGAACGATTTCCATAGTAACATATTACAGTTTTAAATTATCGGTTAGGTTGAACAAAGTAACAGTTAACCCGCAGTACCATTTTCACCTCGTTAAGTAGGTCTAGTGGCCATAATTATACGAAAATCACAGTATTAAAACATGTTATAAAACAAGCAATACAAAATGAGCTATTCGGTACAATATACTAGTTTTCTTAGTTCTTAAAATTTTAGCAAAGAGTACCGCCTTCACCCACCCGCTTCGACGGTATTATATTTTAATGATCGGTTAGAGATACAAGCATCCGTAACATTTTTTTTTTATAATTGTAATACTGTGATCCAGGCAAGAAGTAATGCAATCAAGAAAAAAAGTATCTGATATCTAATGTTAAAGTTGAGAGAATCGTAAAAATTGGAAAAAGAACTGGTCGTGTTATTTCTCTACAAACCTGGCTCGTGAAATCATACATTACGCGTTAATATAATTAATTTCTATTCGAAGTGTTAAAAGATTTGTCTAACCACCGTTCCGGTGTAAACCCAAACTATTTACCTTGGCAAAAAAGCGCCCCCACCCACCACCATTTTCTTATTTTACTGTTACACAAATTTACAATTGATTTCTTTTCTAAGCGTTAAATTACTAACCTATCACCAATATTGATTATTGTTGACGAACAAATTCTCCCTCCCTCTCCCCACTATCTTGGACAAAGTTGGTAGAGCAGGTTTTTCAAGTTAATAACTCTTTTTTAATGTTACACAATCATACATAACGCTTTAGTGCAATTTCTTTCTCTTCTAAGTGATAACGTTTATCAAACACAAATTTTGGGTAAATATTCTGATTTTAGTCGTCGAAAAAGCGCCCTAACCCCATTTTAAAAAAGCTGGAAAGCAGTTTTAGGGCCACTGCTTCTTAAGGGTAAATGCTTTACAGCTACACACTCAATGTAGAAAACAATTAATTCAGAACGCACAGGCTTGAAGCCGCTATGTCTCTTAACTTTGACTGTTTATAATTCAAAACTGCTGTTTAAATTGAGTTTTTCCATTTTCTTTCTATCCTTTTTCTACCCTCGCCCCCCACCTTCTAGCTACGCCTCTACTTACAAACTGTTAGAACATAACATGTTTTGAGAACTGGTACCAATGATATACATTTTTTGGCGTCTATTTTATTCAATAAACATACATCAATTGCATATATTAAAAAGAGAATTGCCAATATACCTTAGTATGCAGCTTGTTCAAATATGTAGCTAAAAAGCTGATCATTGACCTGAAATAAAAGACATTCAATTAGTTACACACACAATATAATTTAACTATTTAAATGTCGTTATCATCGGTAAGTTTCTTGAAATGAATTATTTAAACACCTTTAAAATGGCATGTAGCATTTTTACTTTCTCGTAGATAAAGTATTGTAATCTTTAAAAGTAATCTACATTTTGGAATATTTCGACGTTGTACAGAACAGTATGTTAGTCTATTTTTTTTTTTTAAATACCGTTACTTTACAACTTTCGGAACCAGAAAATCGTTGTCGTAAATATCGTTTAAGCTATAGGCCCAGTAATATGTCAAATTTGTAGATTCGTTTCAACATTTTAGCAAATTCCCGTCTACCATAGCGTATTTAATCTACTTCCGGTTTCTGTATGGTCATTAACTTAAGTATTGTTTATGGAGGATGAAATTCAGATGACTGTATAACATTCTCGAAGTTTCCTATCAAGTTGAGAATTTTTTTCTGGTAACAAGAACCGTAACTTTATTTCCATATGAGCACAATAGCATGAGTAGATGAAACTTCTCATATAAGATATTTTACTTTGACTACGTTCAATTTTTGAGTGACCTCTAATAACTTAAGTGGTACTTTACTCTTTTTTTTAAAATAAGAAATACTAAGTAAAATACAAGTTAGGTCGACAAAAATTCGTATTTAGGTAAATGGTCTTATATATATATATATATATATATATATATATATATATATATATATATATATATATATATATATATATATATATATATATATATTTAAAGTATTGAATGATTTCCTATAACAGTATTACTTGCTTTTCTTTACAAAACCATAAGAATGTAAACGTGTTATATCACTTTTAGAGCGAACATTTGTTTTCTTTTTAAATTGCGTATGATAAAGCTTTATAATTGTGTACAGATGTTCAGAATATGATTATTTTATATTGTATTCTTATAAAGCTCTTCGATCAAATGTTCTCTCAAAAACTGGTGTTTTGGGGCCTCTGAAATCTAACTCTCTCTCTCTCTCTCTCTCTCTCTCTCTCTCTCTCTCTCTCTCTCTCTCTCTGTATATATATATATATATATATATATATATATATATATATATATATATATATATATATATATATATATATATATATATATATATATATATATATATATATATATATATATATATATATATATATATATATATATATATATATATGTATGTATATATATATATATATATATATATATATATATATATATATATATATATATATATATATATATATATATATATATATATATATATATATATATATATATATGTTACGGTCAAAGCCCGAAGTGCGGCCAAAGCAGAGATCAAGCTTAAATCCTATTCAAGTACCGATTCTGGATAAAAATACGTTTTCAGTGTCATTTTTCGTTTCCGGTTAATTTGAATTAAGGTGGTGATTTTGGTTTTGGTTTTAGTTTAGAGAAAATAGACAGCACTATCAACCTAGCGCCCGTTGTATTCTTCCTCAACGGGCCATTTTTCTTGTTTATTTATAATTTCGCAAGGGCGGCGTCAATAGAGGGTGCGATTTTTCTATCTGTACGGTATATAAAAATAAAAGATGATTTTGGTTTGACACCGATCCACCGATAGACTTTGGGGGAGTTGATTAGGACACTCTGGGGAAGGGTTCTTAAAAACAAATTATTTATAATTTCGCAAGGGCAGTGCCACGGGAGGGTGCGATTTTTCACTATATATAGTATATAAAAAATACTTGATTTTGGTTTGACACCTTTCATCCGATCGCCATCAAACTTTGGTGAGTTCATTAGAACACGACCTGAAAGGGTTCTGCAAAAGTATTTTTTTTTTATTTCGGCGCCACGGGAGGGTGCGATTTTTCACAATATATGCGGTATATAAAAATAAAAGACGATTGCGGTACGACACAGTTTATCCAGGTGCCATAAAACTTTAGGGAGTTGATGAATACTCCTTAAAGGGTTTTTGGTGTGGGTGGGAGGTGGTGGGAGGGGGAATTCAATTTTGCATGGGCAGCCCCCCCCCCCCCAACCACCCGGCAGGATGCGATTTGGTGCCCTGGACTTTTCCGTGAGCGCAATGGCGACTACGTTTGGTCTAAAGCAATGGTTCCCAAACTTTTTCGAGTGGCGACCCCCTTTTATAAAAAGTACGTGACCCGCGACCCCCATTTGATTAAAATGACTTAATTAATAAGGAAATTAATAAGCAATAAAAATAAGATTTTCTACTAGACTTTCAATATGAATTACTCTTTTAGGGGGAACGACGACACTGTTAAAAGTATATATTTTCTACATAAATTCCGTTTGTTTCCAGGGGGGGGGGGGTGAGCTGAGCCGCAACTCCCCCCCCCCCCCCGAATTCGATTTCATCTTTCAATTAAAAACACGATTCAATACAGTTCGTTTGACATCCAGCGTCCTGTATTATAGAGAAGCAGAACCTCGTGATCTTTATTAATGTTTTTTGTAGTTCTTTAAGTGCTGCAGATTTAATATAATTTAAGACTTTTAATAGCAATAGAGTCGGAAGAGTCTTACTGGCAAGGACATACAAGTGAAGCATGCAGTAGATTCCCGTTGGTTAAGGAGCTAAATATTTTACTGTTTTCTGAAAGCCCAATTTTGACCAAAATATAGATGGAGCACCATCCGTACAAACCCCCACAGCCATTCTAACTTATTTTAACCATCCAGTTGTTTTTTTTTTAAACAAAGGTATTTATTTTCTCCATGATATCTTCACAAAATAGCAACTCTTCTTTGCTATCATCTAAATGAATATATTTCACAAAGACAAGCAACTGCGAACACGATTCACGTCTGTTGATTCAATTCAAAATGTGTTCCTTTACATTTACGGACATGTCTGCTATACGCCGCTGAATAGTATTATAAAACAGAGATATTTGTTGCATCTTTACTGCAATGGAATCCCCAAAAAATAATTTCACCATCTACAACATGCATGGTTTGATAAGAATTTCTCCTATTGTGTTTTTTTGTTTGTTTTTTTTGCTTGACAATTTCAATCGTGACTTCATATGATGCTTGCACTAATGCAGTGTTTCCTTGGTGAAAACTTCCTGTTCGAACAGGTCTCTGACGTTTGCAACTAGCTTCATGCCGACGAAAGAACTCCATATCTTTTTTGGTGTCTTTCGAATGACTCGTCATAAAATGAGGTTTTAGTTTTGAAGGTTTCATAGAAGCAAGACGCGGAACAACTTTGCACAGTACGCATTGTTTATTCAATTTCCAGTGATGTTAGTAAAGCCAAATTTCAGATATTCACGTAAATATTTAAGTTTTGTTTATTATTTGCTAGGGTTTAGTCTACCAGTTCGCGACCTCCCAGAAAGCCCTTCGCGACTCGCGACCCCCAGTTTGGGAACCCGTGGTCTAAACAGTGTGATAGACAATTGATAGGATAGGGCATTACAAACGTTCACTAAATTGAATCAGGCGTCTTCACCTGTGCCCTGGTAGGGTGCGATTCGGTTGCAAACAAAAATTTCAAAAAAAAAAAATTTCAGTTTCGGCACCCAAAGGTTTACAAAGGCCGCTCAGGCCATATAATACGTTTTATTTTAATAATCAGAAAAATTAACCAAGGTTAGATTATTAACTGGGGTGTTTCTTCTTGTCCGTAAAAAATCCAAACAGTTTCGTCACTTTGCGAATGATGCAATTAGCATCTATTTTTAGACAATTCAATCAGAAATTGATAACTAGCATCTAATAATAGACCATTAGTAATGGTAACATATTGCATCAGCCAAACTGATGTTTAAAACACGTCAAATAATTTTTTTACGTATTAAAGAAACAATCCTGTTCATTTGGTGAATGACGCAATCTGCATCATGGTTAACTGGATGCTATTTGGCACGATGGCGTCTGTTAGTTTTAAGGAGCCAGGGGCCGTACTCGGCGCCTATGCGGTAGTGTAATCGGGGGGGGGGGGGGCTCCTGAGAGCACCCCTCTACGTCCCTGACACATGGGCGGTCACCGAAGTGTGTTCTACCTTATTATTTCGGTGAGTGATTAATGTGCACTCAAGGTTTTCATACGGTAAAGTAGGTAAACTCGTGTCCCGATATTTATGATCCAATCACATGCATTGTTTACATTTAAATAACTCAATTAAAAAAAACAAGGTCTAAGAATATAGGATTGGTAACGCATGGATGAGACCCTTCTAATATATTTCGTCGGACTTTCTTCTATTCCTGCGGCGACGCGTGGGGACCGGTACGCCAGTATATATATATATATATATATATATATATATATATATATATATATATATATATATATATATATATATATATATATATATATATATATATATATATATAACTTCTTAGTATTATTTATCATTATCATTGGAGTTATCTAGTCTACTGTATTATGCGCTATACTTTAAGTAGTCGTTTAAAACCCCTAGACTTAAGAATCGAACACTACAGTTATACTTACATCCATTCTTAAAGCAATTTGTCCTTATTTTCTATATTGAATAGGGTTTTCAAATTATTTGTTGAAGAACTTGTCTTACAAAAGTTTGAACCAAAAAAGAGCGAAATTTGTAAAATTTGCATTATTTTTATCAACAGGTTGAAACAACTGCTAACTTTGATATTGTCGACTTTAAGAAAAAATATTATTGAACTCAAAAATAGAATAAAGATGAGTGTGAGGTTATTCTAAGTTGTGAAGCATTGTAACTATACAAGTTAACTTACAATTCAGATTGAATTGAAGTATAAGGTTCATAAAATAAAAGCTACCTTTTTATGTTTTTGAAAACGTCTTGATTTAGACTATTCACATTTAATTCCGGTTTTGTTTTCCAAGAGGCAATTATTGTACTGCTGTTCAATTCCTTACCTATAAGTTAAAGAAAAAGTTATTTACTCAAAAATAATTATTAAAAAAAAGATTTGTCTGGTAAAAATATAATCATTCATCTCGAATATATAAAGTGGGGTAAATAAGTGTCTACAAGTAAAAGAACTTGTACAATACCAGATAATATGGGTAGTGGTAGAAATGGAGTGCCTTCAAAACTCCTAATGCTAAACGTGTGTGATCTATAGATGCCCCAATTCCAATTTTGAATAAAATAAAAAGTTTAACTTTAAGATGTAGATTTCGCGCAACTTAGTCTGGATATAAGATACACATGTTTTCGATTAAAAAAACCATTTGCTCCCCAAAATCTTTATTTCTAAATATCTATCTAACCTGAACATTTCGGACTTCTACAGCCTACGGTTATCCATTTATTGCGATGTGAAACATGGTACCCTCCGGCAAATTTCCATTCTACTACGCGGACAGGGCTATCTTCGAGCGGGTATTAAATAATTTATTGTCCGCGGGGCACCATAAACTCTACAGCAATCTATCGGCCAAGCACTCGTGTACCCGCTAAAGTCGTGACCTTTTCTTTTGTTCTAAAAATAAGTGGGAAAAAACGCGGTTTTCTACAAAGTAAATATTTGATGTCAAATTCCATATAAGGAAATGCGCGTAAAAATAATGAATGAGGAGCGATTCATTGATACGCTTGACCAATAATATTATAGTACCGTAAATCAATAAGTTGCAACTATCCACGTGTGCTAGGCAGCCATCTGGTTTCTAGATAAAAAAAACAATCGCCTGTTTTTTTTTGTTTACTTTATTTGCATAATATACTCTTTTATTTGTTATTTTGAAGTTACACAACAACATTAAGTTTAATAATTGAAACTTTGCCAAGAAGTGCATTGTATATTGTCATTTATAACACGATTAAACACTGATTGGCGCGCTTTATACAAAGCTGATGCAATGCGTCATGGACATGTCTGTCAGTGTTAAGAATGTACAAAGTCTATCCCCTTCACCCCCCTCATCCCCTTCTCGCTATTTAACCAACGGCCAGTTTATAAACTTGTTACTGCATGCAGTGATAGGCTTGAAAGCGTTCATCATACTTTAAACCGGACTGTATACGACACATGTGTTAATGTGTGTGCCCTTCTCTCCGTATAGGGTATGCTAGCAATGAATGTAAATACTAGATGGGATAGCTGATAAGTATTCACTTAGGCCCTGTACAGAAACATAGTGCTTAACCCTATCTACACGGGTGTAATATTCACGGTTCAACAAACATCGGTAATCTATATCTCATTGGATCTTCACTCACTATTCAGCGTTGGGGAGGTGTGGAATGAAGGCGTGTCTATTTTTACTAAAATAGGAAACGCACAGTGCCTTTTCCGCCCCTCTTTTCAGGTTTTCTCAACTTTGCATTTTTACTCAAAATTCATTATTCAAATCGCTAAGGCTTTAAGAATAGGAACCACGGATATATATTTTTTTTAATTTAAGGGGGAAGGCTCCGTTAAAAAAAAACTTTTTTAAATACTCGTTAGAAAACAGTTATTTCTTTACAGTTTTATTTAGATGCATCCGCATATGCATTTCAACAAAAAAAAATTCGTGGAAAAATCTTGGTAACTATGACAACGGCGGCCATCTTGAAAAAGTAACCCCTTCGTAGGTTTTCCACCATAAATTTTTTGAAGATATGCACATAAAAGTTTTAGCTGAGTGCCCCAAAATATGGAAGAAAATTATAAATTCATTGTTTATTGGGCATAAAATATAATATTTTACAGAATAAAGTTCTATTTCGGGTTAAATTTCCTTACATGATAAATTAAAATTACAATATTTAAGGTTAAATATCGTTTCAAGGTAATTTTTTTAAAATTTTCTCTTATATGTCCGGATTAATTACAAATACCGTTTCCGAATAACGTTCCGTTTCCGATTAAATTTCTTACCTGCTAAGGTTCTAAATTTTTGTTTCAGCCAAAATGTCTGGATTCGGTTAAAAACCTGATTCTTGATAAAACTCCGTTTACAAAGAAATTTAATTTCCGGTTAAATTTCCGTTCATGCTTCAATTTCCAACATATGATACAGTTAAAATGCCGATTTTTAAAAAATAAATGGTTCATTGAAATTTTGTTTTGAAGTTAATCTCCGGTTCGTATTTAATATTCGCTTGTGATTATATTTCCAATTCGGTCCAATTATGGTTCCGTAAAATTTCCGGTTCTGGAAAAAATGTAGATGTAATTTCTCTTTTCGGCTCTGAATACTGTTAAATTTTAGGGTTAAATTTCCGTTAAGATTTAAGCTCCAGCTCGGTTAAAATTTTGTTTTCGGAAGACATTCCAATACCTATTACAATTCGGCGATGAAAAAATACCGGTTTCGATTAAAGTTCAAGTTTCTGAAAGAATTATGTTTCAGGGAAAATTCTAGATCAATAATATCTTCGTTTCCTGTTAAATTTCAAGTTTCGGTTTCTGTTTGATTTTCGGTTTCTTTTAAATTTCCCTATTCATGTTAAATTTTCTTTTCACTTTGAAAATTACTTTGCTGTTAAATTGCAGTTTGGATATTATTATTTTTGTTGTTTAAACTGAACTTTTGGTTTAGGTTTAGGAGGGTATTTTAGTTTTGGTTTCGGTTTAGAGAAAAAAAAAACAACTATCAAACTAGCACCAGTTGTCTTTTATCTATACGGGTCAGTTTACTAGTATATATATAGTATATAAATATATTTGTAATTTTAAGTATATATAAACACACATAATATTATTCAAACATAAATACGTACATATTTCATAAAGCAGTCGAACAAGCCTCATCTCTTTAAACGACATTTTTGAAATTCCACTCTCAAAATAAAAGTTTGCAATATATTCAAATGTAGTTAATTCCTGGTTTTCTACTGCGATAAAAAAAGATTCTAATATTGTATAATACATTTTACGCTGGGACTCATACGAAAGATGTACATTTCTGTAATTGTCATCAACAAGTTTTTCTTTCTTAAGTTCCGTATTTATTAACATCTCTGCGATTATGTATTCTATATTTAGGCAAGCAATCATTAAAGCGTTTTGTCCAAATATATTAACAAAATTTATATCACATCCCATGTTTATCAGTATTTCAACAACATTTACATTGCCGTCTTTTGTTGCTTGCATTAAAGCACTATTTCCTTCATTATCACAGTTATTTAAATCCACTCCGATTTGTATCAGCAATTTTACTATGTTGAAATGTTTTTTTCTAGATGCATGCATTAAAGCATTATAGCCATCACAATCTGTACGACTAAAATCATCGATATGTTTTTTTAAAACTTCTATAATTTTTAAATGACATTTTTTAAGTGAAATCTTTGCTTCAGCTGATTCCTTTTTATTTATTTCATCAATGCCCAATCCTTCCTGGAATAATAATTCATAAGCTTTATCAGAACCATAAACACTTGTGAATAATAATAGGCTCCAACCATCTTGTGCAATGCGTTTACGAAAGTCTTTGTGACTATTAAACAACAACACAAAAATGTCAACATGTAATTCTCTGCAGGCTATTTGTAAAACATTTAAACCCTTTTTATTTACATGATTGAAATTACAACCACTTTGAATAAGTAATTCAACAATTCCAATATGTCCTTTTTTTGTTGCATGCATTAATGCATTGTTGCCATCAATATCAATAAAAGTTAAACCCGCCTTATGTTCAATAAGTAATTCAATAATTTTGTAATGACCCTTTTTACAAGCAGTCATTACAGCCTCACATCCACGTGTGTTTATTGTATCTATGTCAGCTCCATGTTGTAATAATAGTTTTAGAATTTTGCCATGTCCATGAACACATGCGAATAATAATGGATTCCAGCCATTTTTTGCAGAGCAATTCGCATCGACGTCATATATGAGCAGTAACTCTAAAATGTCGATATGTAATTCTCTACATGCAATCAGTAAAGCATTTTCACCTTTTTTATTTAAATGGTTTAAATTACATCCTTTTTGTAGCAGTAACTTTACAGTTTGAATGTGTCCACTTTTAGTTGCGTGCATTAATGCAGTATATCCATCTCTGTCTGTGAAATCCATATCTGCATGATAATTAATTAGTAATTCAATAATTTTACAATGACCCTTTTTACAGGCAGTCATTACTGCCTCACATCCACGTGTATTTATTATATCTATTTCAGCTCCGTGTTGTAATAATAGTTTTAAAACTTTGTCATGTCCATGAACAATTGTGAATAATAAAGGGCTCCTGCCATTTTTTGCAGAGCAATTCACATCGACGTCGAATTTAAGCAGCAACTCTAAAATGTCGATATGTAATTCTCTACATGCAATCAGTAAAGCATTTTCACCTTTTTTATTTAAATCATTTAAATTACTACTGCTTTGAATAAGTAATTTCACAATACCAATATGTCCATGTGTTGCTGCAAGCATTAAAACAGTGTTACCTTTCATGTCAACAAAATTAAAAGAAAAGTCATATTTAATAAGTAATTCTATTATTTTTTTGTAACCTTTTTCACAAGCAGTCATTATTGCTTTACATCCTTCATTATGCAGTGAATTAGTTTGAGCTTCATGTTTTAATAATTGTTCTAGAAGTTTGTCATGCCCATGAATACATGCAAATACAAATGGAGTCCAGCCATATTTTACATAACCGTTTACATCAACATTATTACTAAGTAGCAACGCTGTAATGTCCACATGTAATTCTCTACACGATATCAAGAAAGCAGTATCGTATTTTTTATTCAAGTGATTTAAATCAATTCCACTTTGCATAAGCAGTTCTACAATTGGATAATGTCCATACTGTGTTGCATACATTAAAGCAGTGTTACCATATATGTCAACAAATGTTAAACACACGTCATATTCTAGAAGTAACTTTATAATCTCGAAATAGCCTTCTCTACAAGCAATCATTACCGCCTCACAACCTTTCTTGTTTATAATATCAATTTCAGCTCCATGTTTTAATAGCAGTTGTAGAAGTTTGTGATGTCCATAAACAATCGCGAATAATAATGGACTCCAACAATCCTCTGCAATATAGTTTACATCAATGTCATATTGTAGTAGAACCTCTAAAATATCGACATGTAATTTCTTGCAAGCTATCAGGAAAGCGTTATATTCTTTTTGATTAGTACAACTAAAATTTATTTCATGTTTTATTAGTAACTTTACAATTTGAAAATGTCCATTTTCGGTTGCATGAATCAAAGCATCGTTACCGGAATTGTCTACACATATTAGACTTTTACCATTCTCTATTAATAACTCAACAATTTGGGTATGCCCCTTTTTTATTGCTGCAATTAATGGACAATAACCAAGATGATTGTTATTGTTCACATCCAACCCAGCTTTGATAAGAAAGTCACATATTTCAAAATGTCCGTTTTTGCTTGCATTCAATAAAACTTGATAGTCGTCGCTTTCTTTGTTGCTCATATCGGCACCATATACTGTTAGTAATTCTTTGATCTCATAATGATGTGTTTTATAGGCAGTCAATACTGCCTCACATCCCCGCGTTTTTACGTCTACATTATATTTGAGTAGCAAGACTAAAATGTCTACATTTAGTTCTCTGAAGGCAATAGATAAAGCATTTTCATCTCTTTTATTTAAATGATTTAAATTACATCCTTTTTTTAGTAGTAACTCTACAGTTTGAACGTGTCCACGTTTAGTTGCGTGCATTAAAGCAGAATATCCTTCTTTGTCTTTCAAATCCATATTAGCACCGTAATCAATAAGTAATTCAATGATTTTATAATGACCCTTTTTACAAGCAGTCATAACTGCCTCACATCCACGTGTGTTAATTACATCGATGTCAGCTCCATGTTGTAATAATAGTTTTAGAATTTTGTCATGTCCATGAACACATGCGAATGATAATGGACTCCAGCCATTTTTTGCAGTGCAATTCACATCGACGTCATATTTAAGCAGCAACTTTAAAATGTCGATATGTGATTCTCTACATGCAATCAGTAAAGTATTTTCTCCATTTTTATTTAAATGGTTTAAATTACATCCTTTTTGTAGTAGTAACTCTACAGTTTGAATGTGTCCACTTTTAGTTGCGTGCATTAATGCAGTATATCCTTCGTTGTCTGTGAAATCCATATCTGCACCATATTCAAAAAGTAAGTGCATGATACTGTAAAGATCGTTTTGACAATGCCTGATAATCGGCTCACTATTGATGCTCAGCTTATTATTTTCTTTTTTCTCTTTTGATAACCAATTTGAATTGTTATCTTGAATTCTGTATTCAGCGTATACACACGACATTATCATTGGGCTCAAACCATTGTTTCCGATACAGTTAACATCTATGTTATTTTTAAGCAGCAACTTTAAAGTGTCTACATGTAATTCGGTGCATGTTAAAAATAAAGCATTATATCCGTCTTTATTACGCTGGTTTAAATCGAATCCGTTTCGAATAAGTAATTCTACAATTTCTGTATGTCCATTTTCAGCTGCGTGCATGAGAGCATTGTTACCATCAATGTCAACAAATGTTAAGGGAGCGCCATATTCAATAAGTAATTCAATAATTTTATAGTGACCCTTTTTACAAGCAGTCATTACAGCCTCACATCCACGTGTGTTTATTGTATCTATCTCAGCTCCGTGTTGTAATAAGAGTTCAAGAAGTGTGTAATGACCATGAGCACATGCGGATAATAAAGGGCTCCAGCCATTTTTTGTAACACAATCTATGTTCAATTGTCTGTCAAATGCAAGCAGCAACATCAAAATGTCGATACTGAAATGATTGTGATTGTTCACATCCAATCCAACTTTGATAAGAAAGTCACATATTTTAAAATGTCCATTTTTAAAGGCACTCATTAAAACTTTATAGTCATCGCTTTCTTTGTTTCTCAAATCGGCACCATATACCGTTAACAGCTCTTTGATCTGATATTGTTTTGTTTTATAGGCAGTCAGTATTGCATCACAACCCCGCGTTTTTCCTTCTACATTATATTTAAGTAGCAAGACTAAAATGTTTACATTTAATTCTGAGAAGGCTATAGATAAAGCATTTTCATCTCTTTTATTTAAATGGTTTAAATTACATCCTTTTTGTAGTAGTAACTTTACAGTTTGAATGTCTCCACTTTTAGTTGCGTGCATTAAAGCAGTATTGCCATCTTTGTCTGTGAAATCAATATCTGCACCATATTCAATAAGTAATTCAATAACTTTATAATGACCCATGTTACAAGCCGTAATTACTGCCTCACATCCACGTGTGTTTGTTGGTTCTATGTCAGCTCCGTGTTGCAATAATAGTTTTAAAACTTTGTCATGTCCATGAACACATGCGAATAATAATGGATCGATGTCACATGACGTGAGTAACTCGACACATTTGTAGTGACCTTTATCACAAGCAATCATCAAAGTTGTCCATTTGTTCTTGTTGACCCTGTTAACATCAGCTCCATGTTGAATAAGTAAATTTACAATTTTTTCACGCCCAAATTCACAAGCAATCATTAATGAATCCCATCCATGTGCATCAACTTGATTTAAATCAGCACCACTTTTTAAAAGTAATTCTACATTTGTTTCATGCCCTTTCACACTAGCAATCATTAACGCATTCCGATTGTCTGATTGCAATGCTTTAACATCTGCACCTCCTTTCAAAAGAAGTTCTACTATATTATAATGTCCATTTTCGGATGCAATCATTAATGCATCCATTCCATTTATGTCTGTTTGATCTAAGCTGACCCCTTTTGTCATTAGAAGCTCTACAATGTTAAAATGACCATTTAAAGCTGCAATAATTAATGCGTTCCATCCACATGTAGTAACACGAGTATAATTTGCTCCCTTTTCAATTAATAATTTTACAACCGAATAATGTCCATTTTGAGCTGCAAGCGTAACTACATCGAATCCATCTTTATTAATAATATTTAAGTCTGCACCTTTGTCTATTAGAAGTTTAGCAATTGTATCATGGCCATTATAACATGCAAACATTAAAGAATTCCATCCTGCGTCATCCAGAGTGTGTACATTATTTCCATTTAAGAGCAGCCGTTCTACCGTTTGATGATGACCATGTAAAGATGCGGCCATTAAGTCATCCATGATCTTGTTTTTAAATTACTTATTGCAATGTTTTGATTTCTTTTACATTAGACAATCTATAAAAGACTTCAAAGATTGTTCAAAATGTCTGCTCTTCCAACACCATGTATAGTGGAACCTCATGGTCGTCAACACATCTGAAATAATTATATCATTAAGGATTACGTATTTCTATACTAGTAAACTATATAAAATATAACTTGTGCACTAAAACAAATAATGTTAGATTATGTGATTTCCCATCATCTATTACAAACACAAATCAATGTACAGAAGCAATACTAAAATCAATAATAATAAATACTCAAGTAATCAATAAAAACATTAAAAGCATTCATTTACACACAAAAAAACAGGATGACTACTATTCAATGGCTATTCAAAGTCTCATTTATTAACTACATTTTAATTGCTGGTGAAGGAAATACATTTTATTGGTCCACTAAACAGTTTCAGTGAATTTTGCCATTTGTCAATTATGAACAGTGGAAATGGAAATGGGCTGTATTAATTGTGGATTTAACTATTATAAATGAACAAATGAACAAACAATTTATCTTCTGTCCTTAAAAGAAGAGACCACAAGAACTACCCTGAGTCCATATTAATTTAGTCCTTATACACACTTAAAAACCACGAACCACTTGCTACAACATACATACAAAGTATATAGTTACATAATGATGGATAGAAATAACAAAATAATCAGATTTAGCTTGCCTGTTACATTTTAGTCCTTTGATGTGTTTTAGAAGTAAAAAACAAAACTATATTGTGCAAATATAGAATAAATTACATAATAAAGTCAAGTTTTTAAAATGTTTTATAAAGAACAAGCGTGCCCGTCGCCGCCCGTTACCGTGGGTAAAAGGCAGCGGTCGTGTTTTTAAAAAAAATATTAGAGTAGTTTCCCTTGAAAAAAAATGTCTATTCGCATGTTTGTTGTGTTGATTTTGTGGTTTAATGTGGTTGGTTTGTATTGTTTCAATATATGCCGTTATAGAGTTTTCTTTTTTTTTTCATATAGTTGAAATAAATGATATATAGACCTTTTAAGACTTAATAGTGTGCATCCAAGACCACAACAATTGTTGGGAGGTCGAACACTTTAACACTTTATTTTTTGCTGTAATCAAATCAATATTAGATCTCCCATAAATGACGGCGTTCTTAGGCGGTTTAGATAGTTATGACAGCAGGCACTATTACAGAACAAATATAATGATGAACATATTGTTTCAGATAGAAATTGTGATTTGAAAGTGCCAACCGAAGAAAAAAATCTAGAAGAAACACAGTTCATTGGTGATCCATTTTCTCAGCGGGGAAATATTAAGAAGGGACAAAAAATGTAAAAAGCATGTCCTTTTTCTTGAACCCCCACCTTTTCATTCCCCCACTTTGCACATCGTCACCGAGTTAACGCTGGCGCGTGATGTCATAGAACAGTTAACGCTGGCGCGTGATGTCATAGAACCGATACCGCCGACCTTTAAGCTAATTTTATAGAGAAAAAAAACGATCACTGACGTTTTACCACTTATGCGAAGTTTAATTTGATTACTTATGTTGATTTTCGAATAAACAGCCCCTTACCCATCAATCACTCATCCATTTAAACGTATGTGGTTATTTTTGCAAGCTTGCTGTCATAAAACTTTCGGCCCTTTAAAAATATTACTAAAAAACAAAAGAGTGGCTTTTTGCCAGAAAGGATCGAAAAACACCATTCCCCTAATAAGGCCAACAGACAGACAGACAGACCGACAGACAGACATGGAAATGGACATAGGCATAGGCATAGGCATAGACATAGACATGGACATGGACATGAACATGGACATGGACATGGACATGGACATGGACATGGACATGGACATGGACATGGACATGGACATGGACATGGACATGGACATGGACATGGACATGGACATGGACATGGACATGGACATGGACATGGACATAGACATGGACATGGACATGGACATGGACATGGACATGGACATGGACATGGACATGGACATGGACATGGACATGGACATGGACATGGACATAGACATGGACATGGACATGGACATGGACATAGACATGGACATGGACATGGACATGGACATGGACATGGACATGGACATGGACATGGACATGGACATGGACATGGACATGGACATAGACATAGACATAGACATAGACATAGACATAGACATAGACATAGACATAGACATAGACATAGACATAGACATAGACATAGACATAGACATAGACATAGACATAGACATAGACATAGACATAGACATAGACATAGACATAGACATAGACATAGACATAGACATAGACATAGACATAGACATAGACATAGACATAGACATAGACATAGACATAGACATAGACATAGACATAGACATAGACATAGACATAGACATAGACATAGACATAGACATAGACATAGACATAGACATAGACATAGACATAGACATAGACATAGACATAGACATAGACATAGACATAGACATAGACATAGACATAGACATAGACATAGACATAGACATAGACATAGACATAGACATAGACATAGACATAGACATAGACATAGACATAGACATAGACATAGACATAGACATAGACATAGACATAGACATAGACATAGACATAGACATAGACATAGACATAGACATAGACATAGACATAGACATAGACATAGACATAGACATAGACATAGACATAGACATAGACATAGACATAGACATAGACATAGACATAGACATAGACATAGACATAGACATAGACATAGACATAGACATAGACACAGACACAGACACAGACACAGACACAGACACAGACACAGACACAGACACAGACACAGACACAGACACAGACACAGACACAGACACAGACACAGACAGAGGCACAGACACAGACACAGACACACACACATATATATTTTATACTATTTTTGGATACTTTACCAACTATGCGAATGCCAATAGAATAACCAAGTTTGAAACATGTAAACTGCTCCAGCTGAAAAGAAAGCAGTGTTCTGTGGTACTACTTAAAATTAACACGCTTCCGCCCAGGTGTTTTAAAGAGATGTGCTGTGTGTTTGAACTAAGGTGTGTTTGCAACAACGTTATTGCTTGTTTTTTGCATCATTTGCGCCAGAAATATGGTGGTTAATAATAACATTTTAATATAGAACGATGAAGAAGAAGAAGTTAAATGCGAGACACGTATTTACACTAATAAAACTTTTTTTGCTTTCCCATTTATTACCGTTATTATTTTCTCTTATCTGACGTTAAAAAGTGGACTTTTATGTTTTGCTAATAGATATTTATACCTTAGACGTTTAAAGCCCAACATGACCGGGTGACACCAAGGCATAATAGCAATATATATATAGAGAGAGCAAAAACGATAATTCCAGTTAAATAAATGATTAATTAGAGTTAAAAGGTCTTTTAATTAATAACAAAATTGACAAATCATGACACCATGACGTAAACCTGCTAACGATATAGAAAACAATACTACATCCAGCTGTATTTATAATTGTCAATAGATGATCATCGTTAGTATTATCTGTTGACAGTTTAAAGCTATCATTGGGAACGAGGGAGGGGGGGGGGGGGTGGGGGGGCGGACACCAACTAAACGTTGCAAAATGTTTTTTGAGAATTGTAATAACTGACACGTCAATCCTCGTCTGGGGTGGGGGTTGGGGTGAGGGGGCCGGAGGGGGTGACACGAAATTTAATAATTTACTACAACTACAAATACGATAATAACTGTAAGAGTTCGCCCTCTAAATGTTTGTTCTAGGTAGATTTATATAATGTTTGCACAAATTGACGACTTTCGACAATAAACTAAGGGCTGACACCAAATACGCCGTCCTTCGAAATGAATTGGTGTGACACCATATTGGAAAATTTTAAATCTACATATGATTCGATTAATCAAATTATTATACAACAGCCTACATGTGTATGTGTGTGTGTGTGTAAGTGTGTGGAGGAAAGTGACTGACACCAGTAGAACAATAGTTGTTCATCTGATTGTGCTTAAGTAGATGATTAGTTATCTATCAATTGTGATATGTTTAATAGGTTATTTTTTAATCCTATTAAAGTGTATGTGATGTGTGGCTAAAAATCAATGTATTAATCCATTGTAATAAAATAGTTTAAAAAAATTGAGAGACAAAAATTAATGATAGAAACCATAAGCAATAAAAGGCGATAAACTGATAAACAGAACGGATTGGCTTGCCAAAATCACACATGTTGACTCTCTTCGTCAGCGGAAGGTTTTAAGGTAAAACAATAATTCACGCCTTTAATTAATTTGATAAAAAAATGTTGTATAGATTGCAATGGATTATGTTACATTATAATATATTTTACCCTTTTAATGAATTTTTACAATATTTTTGAACATTTTCTGTATGTATTCACTTGTCATAATAACCATAAATATGTATTTGTATGTTTCCACTATCGTTCACAATTAACCTCTGTTACCTAATATAAACGGGCTAGACTAGCTCGGATTTTCTTAAAATCATATTAGAATACGAACGTCTCATTTCATTTCGGATTTTATACATTAATACGCTGATATATATATATATATATATATATATATATATATATATATATATATATATATATATATATATATATATATATATATATATATATATATATATATATATTATTTTCGTGCACCGTGTCAACATTTTTATCCTACCACTCAAGGCTTGTTGTGTGGAATGTGACAATCCAGGTCACAACACGGATGTGATACGCTTGCTTGAGCAGACATAGCGGTTAACCTTCAGCGCCCAACACGTCTTGCCTAGATATCATCTCATGTGTTAAGTATGAACTACACTTAAAACCAAGGTACTTGCAACAAAAAGCTGAAGAATATTACGTGTTAGGAAAAACCCGCATCTGGTGTTCGAGTTTGCTTGTTTACCATATAAGGCCTGTATAAAA